CCCCTCGTACCACAGTTTGTAGTAGAGGAGACAAAACTGCCACATAGAATGTGTGAACCTTAACTGAGCTTCTCTTCCCCCAAACAGCTATCAAAACAAAAGAAGCTTGACTCTTACAACTCAGTAATAAATAGTGAAAAAAACCCAAACAATTAAAAATTGGGCCAAGAATCTGAATAGGCATTTGTGCTAAGATCAAACTGTGGACAATAAACACTTGAAAAGATGCTCAGTCAACATCATCAGTCAGAAAGGAAACACAAATCATGAAAACCACAGCACACTCAGACCAAACGCACTGCCATCGAGTCCTTGCCCGCTGCTGGTTGACCTGCCCTGTGAGTTTCCGAGATCAGTACTGACACAGCCACTTTTAGGACAGGGAGAACTGTCCCTGTGGGTTCCCAAGACCGTAACTGTTGATAGCGGAGTAAAAGCCCCATCTTTCTCTATAGGGGTGCCACAAGTCAGCATTAACTTGGTGGCAGTGTTTGTTTTATTTCACTGTTCTCCATTGGGGCGGGTTGTGGTTTTGAACTGCCGACCTTACAGATCGCAATCCAGTGGGTAACCACTATGCACCAGGCCTCCCTTTGGATGGGCCAACTCAAAAACAAAACTCACTGCTATTGAGTTGAGTCTGATTCATGGCGACTCTGTAGGAGATTAGAACTGCTCCTGTGGGTTTCTAAGACTAACTCTTGACAGGAGTGAAAAATCCCATCTTTCTCTCACAGACAGGATGGTGGTTTCAAACTGCTGACCTTGTGGATCACAGTCCAACTCATAACCTCTATGTAACTAGGGCTCCTAGGATGGATATAACCAAAAAGACAGAAAAGAACAGATGTTGAGGAATTAGAGCCCTGGTCATATGTTTGGCCTGTGCCTTGTAGAAGAGGCAGACATGTAAGCAAATGGAAGCTGTTATTCAAATCAGTGGAGTCCTGGTCACAGAGCAGTTATATGTTGGACTGTTAACTGCAGGGTTGGCAGTTTGAAACCAGCCACTCCTCAAGAGAAAGAGGAGATTTTCTACTCCTGAAACTCGCAGGGGCAGTTCTACCCTGCCATATAGGGTCGCTATGAGTCCGATAGCAGTGTTTTTGTTTTTAATTCAGTGATTGTGGGAAGGACTTCTATATTGTAGAATAATTCAACTGGAAAATTTCTTGGTAGCAAAGCTTTCTCTATAAAGAAAGACTATGTTATCTATATGACAGTTTAAGTTTCTTGTAAATTGGCACTCTGAGCAGTAGTAACTTACAGGACAGTGGAGATGAGAATGGCTACTTGAAGCATAAAGAAACAAAAGCATGGGATATCTGAATGGGAAAGGGAGAGATTCAGAGGATGAATAAGCAAATTATCAGGTACAAATAAAATAGATGACCAGTGTGAGGGCTAGTTCAGTCAGTAGAGCATGAGACTCCTAATCTCAGGGTCGTGGGTTCGAGCCCCACGTTGGGTGCCATTTTGTGGGGAAACCAGTCCCTCACACTGTCACGGGTTCAGTAAGCACAACTGTACAGTTAAGCTATATAAGGTTATAGTAAAGTCACGGGGGATAGGAAAGAGAGTAAAATGAAAGAGTCACACATTTCATGGTAGCATGCTCACCTCAGCCCTTCTTGGTGGTCCATATGGAGACTCAGAAAGGAGTAGGGGGCAAGAGAGAGCGCAATTTATTTCAAAATAAAGGCTTATATACTTTTGCGGGCATGCAAGCCCCTTAATTACAGGTTAAGACATATGTCACAGGAGAGAGTTGTACTATAGGTAATCAGTAATGGGAGGGGGACGACCTAGGGGTGTAGATGCTATAGGAAGAGGAGGGATTAAGGGTACGAATGTGACAGGATGGGCCGATTTTAGATTCATGGTAGCGGCCTAACCTTGATTGTCCTTGAGCTGGAGACTTGATTTATTCCAAACTTTCTGGGGAACCAATCCACTGCCCCTAACAATAGGGAGTGAGCCCCACCTACGGCAGGCAGACAGTTGGGTCTGGTGCCTTCAGGGAGACAACTTGACAATCATTTACTATTAGTTGCAACCAGTGTCCTAGGTCTGACATATATATTTGGGGGAGAGAAGCTGTGGAAAAGTCTCTTTATATCCCACAAACTAGTCCTACAGCTATCACAGAAATGCATCTCACATCATGCTCAGTGTGAAAACGATTTCTTTTAGAAAAATTAATACCGGACTAGTCCCAAAGAGCTGGAGCTTAACGATGTCCCAAATGTCCAACTTTTCTAACATGTTATATCACTCCGTTTCCCATAATGTTAACCACCAGTCCTTCTTAGCATAGGCATCCCTGTGTTTCACTGCAACTTCTCAGAACTCAACAAAACATTGTGTAAATGACTGTTAAACTCCAAATGTGAAGATCAGCCATTGTCTGCAAAGTACCCTCATCCCCAGGGCTGCGGAAGCTGGTGAAACTTGGTCAGGTGGTGGCCTGCAACTTAACGCCCAAGAGCCAAAGGTCAGGCAGAGACAAGCCAAATGCAGGGTTCAGAGCCAGAAGCCAAAATTGTCCAAAAGTCAAAGCTGGCTTCCTGCTTCTAGGAACCACCCCACCCCCACCCTTATCCCAAGGAAAGAAAGGGTGATCATTTGAGTCACATCTAGTAAATTGGAGACTCAGAATACACCTCACCTAAATCCTGTGCTAATTTTAGCCTAACAGAAATTTCCAAAATGGGATTATAACCACAGGCTTAGCACAATTTACAGTACATCACAAAAGGAATTATGGCTAGAAAGGCCATATTAAGTAGTTGACTACATCACTGAGTGACATACTGTAATAAAATACAGTAAAAGTATTCATAGCAGTGTCGAATTACTAAAGCATACGGCTCGTTATCTGCGCTTTTCTCATTACAGATTGGTACAGATGCACACATGGAATAACAGGTACTCAAGAAATTGAGTTCATAATTAAAATCCTTCCCACAAAGAACACCAAGTGCATAGGACTTCACTGGTGACTTTTACCAAACTTTTAAGGAAGAAAAATAAGTACACAACTGTGTTTATAAAATAGAAAAAGAGGAAGCACTCACTCCCTAACGCTTATAAAGAAACTATTAGAACCTTGATGCCTGAAGCCTGACAAAAACAGCAGAATATTCTCTTTTGTAAACAGAGGTCCAAAAAACTTCAACAGGATGTTGGCAGACTAATCCAGCAATATATTTTGGCTACTTGGTTTTATTGCAAGAATACAAGGAGCCATTAGCATTTGAGTCATAATTATTTACCATTTACATAGCTGTCTTAATAGATACAAATAATAAAGTTCAGTTTGCATTCATGATAAAAATAACAGTAAACCTTAAATGGAAAAGGAACTTCTAAATCTATAGCAGAATCTGCGTCGTTGTCGATAACTTTCCCGTGAAATGGGGACTGAGACAAGGGCCTCTTGTCACCACGTTATTCTGGTTGTACCACAGATCTGAAGTCATGTCACATGGCAGACCCCAACTTACATCAGCATCCCCTGCTAACAACTCCATTGGAATACATTTCTGACCAGGCAAATACCTTTTTCGTCTCTTTTTGAAAAAAATTTATTTCATAGCCTGCTGTGTTTTGAACAGTGAATCATAACATTGAATATCTGAGAATGAACATTTTAGAATGATAACATCAGCAAATTACATGCTGTAACATTATATGTAATCTGTATTACTAACATTAGCCTCCCCTCCCCCCCACACACACACACACAAAGGATAATCATAAGTGCAGTTCATCCTAAATCAAACACGTAATTCGAGGACTGTATACGACTTTAATATCAAGTGACTGTAATACCTAAAATTATAGAAAATACAAATGAACCTGAAGACAAATTATTAGAACTAATGTGATTTTTTTTTTAAAGCAAGGATCATATGCAGTAAGTCCTATGAAGGCTGGAAGCTGCTTAAGTAAAAATCTGTCAGAGGAGGAGAACTCAAATATTTCTCACTAATAGTAACAGAAAAATGTTACAACTTCACCCTGTCAATGATGGGAAATTTGGAGGAAAAAATGCAGGAAAGTGAAATTTTAGGAAGACCCCGTTTATAATGTTAAAAAAAAAAAACCCTCACTGATATCTAGACCATTGTGACTCATAGTGCCCCTATAGAACTGCCCCTGAGTTTCCAAAAATAACTTTACAGAAAGTCTCATCTTTCTCTTGCAGTCAGCTGGTAGTCTTGAACTGCTCACCTTGTGGTTTGTAGCACAATACATAATCCACTGTGCCACCAGGGCAGAGGTTGGTGTTGGATGTTATGTCTGACCTTGGCTTCACTAGGATCAAGACATGGACTGATGTTGATTCCCGTGAGATTAGAGAGAAATTGATGCTACTCACACCTGTCCTTTGTCCCCTTTTTTCACACACTAAGATGCAATAGAGTAATTTTTTTAAATGTAAAAGACCAAAATAAATAATTGGAGTATATATTGATTGAAGCTCTCAGTATTAAAGATTTCACTTCTTCTCAAATTATTGGGCATATTCACTGTAATCTCAAATAGAATCATAAGAGGACTTTGGTTTTTTGGGGAAAGAGTGTAGAACGTAAAACTTTAATCATTGAGAGGACTTGGTTTAATGAGTATTAAGTCATATTATAAAACTATAGTAATTCCGATACTGTCATCTGGACGCCTGCATGAACAAGTAAATACCCAGCTGTAACCATCCTGAGAAAATAAGACAAGCGTCTTTAAAGTAAATCTCTGGGTAGAGATAATGCCAGTGATGCCAGCGTAAATAAACCCAAAGAAAAAATTAATAGCCTGAGTCAGCTGTTTTATCTTACTGACACTTGAGTTTGGGACCTCTGAGGTTACAACTCTTCCTCACTCAACGTCTTTGGTGGAATCTCTCTCTCTCCTGGATAGGTAAGAGGTGTTAGCCGTTATTTTGAATTGAACTTAAACTGTGTGCTTGGATGACCAGTTCCTGTCTTTTTTGGTTTTAGGTCTGCTGATTTGGGTCCTACTTTGTTGACAAGACCTGGACAACCAACACTTACCAGAGTGCCCCCACCTGTTCTTCCAAGGCCATCCCAGCAGACGGGAAGCAGCAACCTGAACTCTTTCAGACCTGCGTACAGTTCATTTTCTTCTGGATATGGAGCCTATGGGAATTCGTTTTATGGAAGCTATAGCCCTTATAGTTACGGATATAATGGGCTGGGGTATAACCGCTTCCGAGTAGACGATCTTCCACCTAGCAGGTTTGTCCAGCAAGCTGAAGAAAGCAGCAGAGGAGCATTTCAGTCCATTGAGAGTATTGTGCATGCCTTTGCCTCTGTCAGTATGATGATGGATGCGACCTTCTCCGCTGTCTACAACAGCTTCAGGGCTGTGTTGGATGTAGCAAATCACTTTTCCCGATTGAAAATACATTTCACCAAGGTGTTTTCAGCTTTTGCCTTAGTTAGGACTATACGGTATCTTTACAGACGGTTACAATGGCTGGTAGGTTTAAGAAGAGGCTCTGAGAATGAGGACCTGTGGGCAGAAAGTGAAGGAACCGTGGCTTGCCGGGGTGCTGAAGACAGAGCGGTTAACTCAGCAAAATCCTGGCCAATATTCTTGTTCTTTGCTGTTATCCTTGGTGGGCCTTACCTTATCTGGAAACTGCTGTCTACCCAAAGTGATGAAATTACAGGTGAGAGTGAATGAATGACTTAGAAACCATGTAGCCATCTCAGCCTTCCAGAGCACATTTGTTAAGTCAGAATTACTTTTGTGTTTACTCTTTTTTATGCAGTTACATTTTCAGTTAAGAATATCAAAATGTTGAGGAACATATATCAAAAACAGACTGGTGTAGTTCACTGCCCTGGTGGTGTAGAGATTATGAGTTGGGCTGACTGCTAGTTGCAGGGTCAGCAGTTCGAAGCCACCAGCCGCTCCAAGGGAGAAAGATGGGACTTTCTACTCCAATAAAGAGGTTCAGTCTCGAAGCTCACTGAGGCAGTCGCCCTCCAGGGTCGCTGTGAGTCAGCATCAACTGATGGCAGTGAGTTTGGTTTGAGTTTGAGTTCCTTTAAAAGTGCACATTACCTAACTTTTGTCCGAGGTCATGAACTCGGTGCTGTGGAGAGCACAAAGACACCAGAGGGCATAATTCCTACAGTTCTGAAACCTTTGCGAGGATATAAAACCCATTCACCAATCACTACAACGAGGCAGAAAGAACAGGTGGCAACTGGTGAGAGAAGTAAATTTTAATGAGCCTGTATAAGACACTGGCCTAGGGATTTTGTGGCTTTCATCCATTTAATTCCTATAGCAACTCTGAAAGATCAGAATTATCCTCATTTCATAGGGCTAGCTGAGCCTCAGAAATAACTCATTCAAGGCCACTTACTTATTAATAAGGTAGAACCAGAAACAAAATCAGACCTGTGTAAGTTATCAGAGTTTTGGTGAGAACCGTTGCTCAAAGACTTGAAGACGCTGGGAATGCCAACACCAGTCAATTTAAAACAAAGCAGATGATTCCCCGTGGTTTCCTTGCCTCGTGATTGCCCAACAGCTGTTGACCCTGCTCAGTTGCTTACTTGAGAAGTGGTCGATGACCTCGAAGTTTTTAAAGAATCAGTGTCTGAATAGAACAACTACAGACAAGAATATTTGCAAAGAGATTGAAAATTAATTCCACCTGAAGTGGAATCCGCTAAAATATGATATAACCGAATGTGGTTAAAAAAAAAAAGTACATATACATGGAGCAGAAAAAGGCATAGGGCAAAATGTATGGAACTCACGAAGATGTAAAATATTTATAAAGTTCATGGTTATCAAGTGGTTTTACAGAAAATATTTGAATCTGTCATGTATTATTGCCCCATTAGAGTCAAAGATGAACTTCATTCACTCTTGTGCACATGAACAATGTCGATTCCATGACTATAGAAGCTGAATATCCTGGCTTGCCTTACCGCACAACCGCAGTTTAATGACTTAGCTGTGGTTAAGTATGACATTTTCCTGAACAAGCTTAACCACCCTCAACCACTGTAAAGTACTCAATGACTATGGAGATTAGCTTTTGATAATTTTTTATATGCCTCCCAGACTATGAGAAGTTAAAACAAGAAACCACACAGACAACCATTCAGCACAAATTTGCAGCAGATCATGTGAGAAGGCCTCAAAATGTTCATGAAAAAAGGGAATTCAGAAATAATGAAAAATTTCCAGACTCCTTGAACCCCTTGTATTATCCAAAATCAAAAGACAATACAGCGGGTTTTTAAAAAATTCAATTATAAAGGAAATTTCCATCTTGCAAAATCCATTTAATTGTATAATTGACAGGCTCTATTTAATCTGCAATTGAAGATAATTAATCTGCAGTGTAATGACATGGTAAAAATCGAATAGTAAAAGAACAACTTGATGTAATTCTATAAACTCATTCCAAGTTTAATATCCTCAGTTAAAATCGCGTGCCATAGATTGATAACATTATTTGGCAGTACCTAACAATGGACTCACACATTAACAATCGTGAGGGCTTTTCGTGCTGGCAGCGCTCCTGTAAACATGGTGAACATTCCTAAACCTGCCGGACTCTCTGTAAGAAGTGTGGCAAGCACCAACCCCACAAAGTGACAGTGCTCGAAGGGCAAGGATTCTCTGTGTGCCCAGGGAAAGCGACGATATGACAGGAAGCAGTGTGGCTGTGGTGGGCAGACTACGCCAATTTTCTGGAAGAAAGCTAAAACAACAAAGAAGATTGTGTTGAGGCTTGAATGTGTTGAACTCAGCAGCAGATCTAAGAGATTGCAAGCATTTTGTACTGGGAGGAGATAAGAAGAGAAAGGGCCAGGTGATCCAGTTCTAAGCTTCATCATGGCTTATTGACAAAACAAAGTTTAATGTTACATATACCTTAAAAAAAAGAAGAGGATGGAGCAGTGGTTTGTTCCTGTTGTGCTTAAGGTCATTATGAGTTGAAACTGGCCTGAAGGCACCTGATATCAACAACATCTGTGTGAAGTATTTTTATAAACGAAATAATAAATTTTAGTATAAATCAGTATCAGCAGATGAACATTATCAGTTTTGATGGTGGGAAATGCTACCTTTGAACCCCACCCCTCCAAGAACAAAGTACAGTATTTTTAGTAAACTCAATTATTGATTTACCAACAGCAATTTTTTTAATTTACCAACAGCAATTATGTGGTAATTAAAATTTATGTGGTAATAAAAAATTTAGAAGGCAGTTACCTGGCCAACCAACTGGAAGATATCCATATGTGTCCCCATTCCACAGAAGGGGACCCCAACAGAATGTGGAAATTACCTAATAATTTCATTAATATCACATGCAAGTAAAATTTTGCTGCAGGTCATTCAACAGTTACCGCAGTGCAGCCACAGGGAGCTTCTAGAGATTCAAGCCAGATTCAGAAGAGGAGGTGGAACAAAGACTATTATTACATCAGCATCATTGTAAGATGGAGCTTGGCTCAAATCACAGAATACACAAAAATGTTTACTTGAGTTTTAATGGCTATGCAGAGGCTGTGTGGATCATAACAAAGTATAGATAGCCTTGAGAAGAATGAGAATTCCAGAACACTTCATTGTGTTCTTGTGAAACCTGTACATTGACCAAGAGGCAGTTCAACTAGAACAAGAGAAGACAGTGGTTTAAAATCAGGAAAGGTGTGTGTCAGATGATCTGATACACTGGACTTTATTAAGAACTCGGCAGCAGGAGTGGAAGAAGTCATTAACCTCAATATGCAGATGGCACAACCTTGCTTTTAGAAAGTGAGGAGGACTTGATGCACTTGCTGACAAAGGTCAAGCACTATAGCTTTTGATATGGCTTACAGCACAGTGTAAAAAACACCAAAGTCTTGGACCGATAGTTAATATCATGATAAAAAGAGAAAAGATTGAAGTTGTCAAGGAGTTCATTTTGCTTGGATCCACTATCACTGCTCATGGAAACTACAGTGGAGATCAAATGTCATACTGCATTGGGTAAATCTGCTACACAAGACCTCTTTAACTTGTGAAAAGCAAGGATGTTACTTTGAGGAGAGGAATAATGTGTGCCTCACCCAAGCCATGGTATTTTCATTTGCTTCATATGCCTGTGGAAGTTGGACATTGATTTAAGACCTAAGAAGAGTCCATGCATTTAATTATGGTGCTGGGGAAGAATATTGGAATTATCAGGGGGAAAAAAACTATATCGATCTGTCTTGGAAGAAGTACAAATCTGTCTTAGAAACTAGGATGGGGAGACTTTGTTGCATGTGCTTTGGACATGTTATCAGAAGAGACCAGTCCCTGGAAAAGGACATCACGCTTGGTAAAGTAAAGGGCAAGCAAAAAAAAAAAAAGGCCCTTATCAGGGCTAGAGTAGAAGGCAAATGTTTTGAGAATGATGAGGGCAGTGACTGTACATATGTGCTTGGCACAATGGATGGATGGATGGATTGTGATAAGACTTGTATGAGCCCCCAATAAAATAATTTTTTTTTAAAAGAGATGTAAGAGCCCCCAATAAAATGATCTTCAAAAAAAAAAAAAAGAGATTGGCACAGTGGCTACAACAATGATCTCAATCCTAACAACACAGGACCAGGCAGTGTTTCGTTTTATTGTTCATAGGGTTGCTGTGAGTTGAAACGGACCCAATGGCACCCTACAACGGCATCATCAGGGTAGCTAACAGGTTACCCCAAGTCAGGATGAGTAAACAAGGGTCGTCTTTGGTCCACAGCAGCTTCGCCTCAGCCAACAGCCATGTCTCTCCTTCTGGTCCTCAGTTTCCAGCCATGTGTGCCCTTGGCCTCGGTCTCTGTAGACTAGCCAGCTCTGCCTCACAGTCTTGTGGTATCTACGCAGCTCCTCTACCCTGCCTCATGGTCTCCTTGCCCCTGTGCCTGCTCTCCGCATGCATGGCGTCTGCTGCCTCTGCCACTTCAGACAGATTTCCACTGGTGGTTTCTCCGCCTCTGCTCCTGGTTCTGAGATGGCTCATGCTTACAGCCAGGGGAATGTCACCTAAAATTGTCCAGTCCCCTCTATTAGTGTTACACATGCCCTATTTGGATAGTCCCACCCAGGCACCTGGTGGGCGTTACAGAGGTATGGATAGAAAGGCCATATTAAGCAATTTTACTTCACCACCCTGTCATAGAGAACATTTTTCCAACTCTGGTTTTCAGTGTAAGGATAGTGGAGTCTAGAGTCGGGGAATAGTACCATGTCTGTAATAGGTGCCCAGTGAGTGAATACTGGTTTTGCACTGTGGTAATTGGAAACCTATGAAGCACAGTTCACTGTTGACACCTGTGGAGTTGCCACCACTACAAATCTCAGCGGCAGGTTAGGTTTTGAATTACAAGGTTGACTTTTTGAAGGGAGCTTTTCTCTTGTGGGATATCATTTATGCAGCTAACAAATCATGGTCAGTGAAATAACATTTTAAAAATTAAATTTGACTAAATGAATCTAATTCTTAATTTGACTCACAGACAACACTAACTGGGCAAGTGGTGAAGATGATCATGTAGTTGCTCGAGCAGAGTATGATTTTGCTGCTGTGTCTGAAGAAGAGATCTCTTTCCGTGCCGGTGATATGCTCAACCTAGCTCTCAAAGGTAATGAACTTGTGAACTGTTAGTGTTTGTAAATGTTTGTATCACTTAACTGCAACAAAGGATCTAGGTCATGATTAACTAACTCTGTGGTGGTTCCTAGAATTTTTCTTGTGTCAGTTTAGACCAGGCGTCCTCAAACTATGTATGGCCCACAGGCCACATGCGGGCCCGCTGAGGACATTTATTTGGCCTGCCGGGTGTTTTTGCTCCGTTTGTTTTTTTATTTCAAAATAAGATATGTGCAGTGTGCATAGGAATTTGTTCATAATTTTTTTTTAAACTATAGTCCGGCCCTCCAACGGGTCTGAGAGCCAGTAAACTGGCCCCCTGTTTAAAATGTTTGAGGACCCCCAGTTTAGACCTTTCAAATCTGCAGAAAAGCAGGAGAGGAATGTCTCAACAGGGCTGTTCCAAGATGTTGCTGATAATCGTAACTCATGTAAAGGAACACAGACACTTGAATTCCAGGGAGTTACACATTGGGCCGCTAACCAGAGGTTAGCCCTTTGAAACCACCAGCCCTCCATGGTAGGAAGATGAGGCTTTCTGTTGCCATAAAGAACTACAGCCTCAGAAACCCACGGGGACAGTTCCACCCTGTCCCATGCAGTTGCTGTGAGTCGGAATCGACTCAATGGCAGTGAGTTGAGTTGAGTTGAGTTGAGTTGAGTTGAGTTGAGTTGAATCATCCTCACATAAAAGTCTGATGTAAGTACTGATTATAGCAAATGTAATAAACCAAAAAAATTGTCTACCATCTTCTGGAAATCCCCATCTGCCCTTGATGGCTGGGCTTGATATTTATTGATTCTTGATTGTTTAGTATTTCATTCAGAAATATTTTTGAACTCTAGGAATCATTTATTATCAAGAGCCTGAGCAGGAATGTAAACATATTGCAAATACTCTTTCTTCAGGGGACCTTTGGTATGGGCTGCTTTTCACCTACTGGTTGCTTCACAGGAGAGACCATAGTCGCACCGCCAATGGTCACTCCCAGCCTTGGAGGCCCTGATAGCTACGCACCAAAGTAGGATGTAGAATGTTGTCTTTTTGTACTGTTAGACCAGTTGACCTTGGCTTCATCCAAGATCATTGGGCCTCCAGATGCAGCTAGTCTTTCCCTCAAGGTGTTTAATTATGCCCAAGTTTTCATTGTTTTACCCCCCCATATGCTCTGCTATATTCATACATATATTTGTAACACAGGAGAATACATGAATAGAAGAGTAATTTATTTATAAGATGGATTATTAGAAACAGGAACAACACAGATAATTAGTTCAGTTAATCTGAGTGAAAAGGATGTTGAAGTGGATGGATCTCTGTTACGTTATATTTCAGAGAAGTTTTCTATCAATATTCTTCAACTAATAATGCCTCTTAACATTTTAGCATAGGCTTTTTGCTTTCTTTTTTCTCCATGGTTCTAATAAAATGTGTTTTCGCATTTAAAGCAAAATCAGTCACAGCTCTGGGTAAGTGTTTAACTTCTAATGGAGTTCCAAGCAAAAATCTTATGTTTGGGCTAAAATATGTTGAAATAAAACAACAGATTAAACAGCTTTTTAAAGACATGGATTTTATAGTTTGGAAAATATCATAACACAAAACGAAATATATTAAGTACCTTTCCTACTGTAAACTTAGGCGATGTTGCTTTTAACTTTTTATCATATAACTAGAAGTAACTTGAGTCTTAAGGTCTTGCTCACCTGGATTAAAATTAGCATTCATTACCTTCAGGATTTTTTTATCACAATCACATGAAAGCACTTGAATTTTGTATTTTGGCCAAAATTATGTACAGAACCATGACTACACAGAGGGATCTATTTGTTTGCTGTGCTCATCTCTGATTGACCGTACTGACAAGGCCCTGAGATACTCTCTCCTTAGACTTGGGTTTGAAATAGGAAAGACATTCAGGGATGAACCTTCAAAATTGGGTTGAGTGAAATACAAAAGCACAAACACTATAAGATCTCACGGGTAATGACATAAACGAACATGTAGTAACCCAAGATAGTGAAAGGAGACTGGGGCTGAGAGCAAGGGAGCAGAAGGAAAGTGTATGTGGGTGCATGGAGTTCATGTCCACGGTGTTGGACTGTCTGAGAGCAGAATAGCCATGACGGTAAAACATGAGAAGTGTAGTCAGTCAGTGTCACTGAACTGAAATGTGGAAGCTGCTCTATCGGATAAGGCTTTGGTGTACAGATATTGTCACCACAATAAGAAAACAACCAACCGAAAAAGGAGAGCTGTTGGTGTTGGTTCTCCGTGTCTGAGAGGACTGAATCCCCTCACGCTTCTGAATGGATCAGCTGATAGAAATATGTTCTTGCAGGGAAAAGACTAACTTTAGCTCGGAAGAACAACTAACTTTAAAATAAAACATATCCAGCTTTTAAAAATGGAGAATGGACCCTGAAAGTGTCCTCGCCACATTTGACTTTGAATCTAAATGTATGTTCTCTGTTATTATGTAAATGTACCCAGATTTTACTTAAGATGATATTGTACTGTCCATATTCCCCCAGGACATGTCATAATTACAAGACTGACTTTTCTTTTCTTCCATCAGCCCAACAGCCCAAAGTACGTGGCTGGCTTCTGGCCAGTCTTGATGGTCAAACCACAGGACTTATCCCTGCTAACTATGTCAAAATTCTTGGTAGAAGACGAGGTAGAAAACCAGTGGAGTCGAACAAGCTCTCCAAGCAACAACAATCTTGTCCCAACACAGCCCTAAGAGGCGCCACTGCTGCTCCTTCTTTGGATGAACAGGAAGCTGCCTTCGAAGCTGTTTTTGTGGAAAATAATAAGGTTCCAGATGTACCTGATTCTACTGGGGAAAGTGGGGATAAACAAGATCTGTGATCTCTTTCGTGTTTGCAGTCGAGAACTTTAGCGTGCTTTTAAAAGTGGTTTCTTACAAACACTAATCTACCGTAATGAAAACATTGGTTAATGGGTATTTCAGGTGTTTTGCTACTAGGGGGTATTGGAATGGTACACTGGTATGTTGGTCTAGCAGCCAGACTGCATTTCACAAGTCATTGGACTATGAGGACACTTGTTTCCCCCAGACTTTAATGTGGCGATTCCTCTCATTTTCATCCTTCCTACAGCCCTAGGCTTAATGAGAGAGTAACAGTAGTGAACTGTACAACACAGCGTGTTGTAGTAGGAATCATTAAAACTTGAAAAATTCTATGTTAGCTAACTCAGGATCCTCAGAAATGAGTGGAAGCATGTAATTATGAGAACCAGGCCATGAAGTGTGTGTTCTTTTTTTATAGCTTTCAGTAAACTGTCAAATCTGCTATCTGTTTTATTTCCCAATAATTGGTTTGTATTAGGCAGTAAAATGTTTTGCCTCTAAACCGTACTATCACCTTTTAGTACTGTTTTCTTGTTTCTTTCTTTTTCAACTTTAAAGGAGACTTGAAGCATTGTGAAGGAGGCAGTTCTAATGTAATAGGGCCTGTAGCCCTGATAACAGCCCCCCGACTAGTTCAAGGGCTGAAATGCAGCTTTTCTGAGAGATTGTTTCTATTTCCTCTAAGGGATCATATAACACTTTATCCCTCAATATGACAAGTTTTCCACCTGAATCAAATCAGAATATATAAAATTTTCCTTCAGTCAAGACTCCAGTTCTTTGAGTCTATAGTTGATGTCTTAATCAGTTTTGACTAACAAATTTTAATCTTTTCTTTCTACATTTGTATAATTACCTTTTAAAATTTCATACTTACGCTGTTCTTTCAATATTGAAAATTTCTTGTGTTGGTCATACAGTTCATTTAGATTTTACTACTTAAACAAAATAAAATACCCAATGACTACTTAGAATATAGTAATGCTATTTAATTTTTTTGCTTAGTAATGATTTTAAACAGTTAAATGGATAACTCTTTGTCACTGAAGTTATTCTGATTCTATAGGAAAGTAGACATGCTTCTTAGAGTGTCCAGGAGTGTAATCTTTACATAAATGCCCTAATGGTGCAGTGGATAAGCATTCAATTACTAATCCAAGGGGTGGTGATTCCAACCCACCAGTGTCCTCTAGGAGGAAGATCTGGCGGTCTGTAAAGATTATAGCAGCCCTGGGATTCCAACTCATAGGGACTGTGTTTTCGTGTTTAGACTGCAGAAGCAGATAACCACACGTTTCTCCTGCAGGGTGGCTTTGGGTTCCAACCACAGACCTTTGAGGTCCAGCCCCGTAGTAACCACTGTGCCTCCAGGACTCCTTCATACACTGGCTCTTTCCCCACAAGTGTGTACAATCCCAGACTCGAGGTGATCCTGTTGCAGGGTCACACAATCCAAGTAGAGGTGTACAAGCAGCCGTTTACAGATAATGCTGAAAACTTTGGATTATGTTATAAAGATTCTGACTTTATATGTTTATATGTTTTTCTGTTCACCAAAAAGTAACTGTAGTTCAGACTAAGACATAGATGGAACTAGATAGATACCCAGCATAGAATAAACTCACTAATATCTTCTTAAGAAACCATTTCTTGAAATAGCATTATAATAAATGACATATTTAAAATACAGACCTTGAACCCTATACAGAGAAAAGAATTATATGATGGTAAAGTTTATTTCACATATTTTTCTAACAGGCCTCGCTGAGGAAGTATATCATTTTCCATTTGTGTCCTAAAAGTCTATTTAATGTATTGAAGTGTTATTCTTTAAACAGATTTTTGATAAGCGAATCGCTTGGTGTTGATTCCTCTAACTTGACTGTGGACATGAAGTCGGAGTCCCATGTTGAGTCAGCACTGCTTAGGTTGGAGAGGTCAGGCCTCGGCCGGGTGTGTGTTCCTCCTCAGTCACGAATGTGTGGAGAGGAAGAGTGAATCACAGAACCAAGTTCCCTTTTCTTGCAGATGTCGCTTCCTTGCTCTTTATGGGTGTATTTCATCCATTTAGAAGAAGGTACATGAGCTCTACATTTTTACATTTCAACTTCTGTGGATTCCTGATTTAGTCTATCAACATGTCATATATTAAATCCAGCTGTCCTTTCTTTACCTTGTGCTTTCACTGATGGAAGAAGGAACAAATTCAATGCAGTTAAATTTCTTTTAATAGATTGTCACCTAACTTTTACTAGACAAATAAAAATAAGTTAAACCTTGTTAACTTTTTTTTAAGATAAGATATTAACTATTTTACAGGATTCAAATTAATATAGCAAGTCTGTGTTTTTCTTCAGCTCATTGTGTATATTTACTGCACACTAACATGTCTATTTCATATATGATTTAAAGAAAAATACTAGTTTTACACTATATAAATATTACCTACAAGGGGAGTTGCAAGTCTAGGCTTTGTAGAACCTAGACTCTATTGAGACACCACCATTTAGACGATAAGATTTCAGTCTAATTGTCTTCTCTTTCCACATTGGTAACATTAAAGATAACTTTAAATCTGCTTCACCTGTGTATTCACGTGCGAAATTCCAGTCGTGTTTTGCAAATACTGTGAGTTTGGTTTCAGACCATCACAATGAAGTGAGTGTCATGAATGTTTGGGTTTCACAGTGCATATCAGTTACGAGTTGTACTATATCTTATATAGAGACCCTATAAGGCAGGACAGAACATCCCTGTGGGTTCTGAAACTGTAAATCTTTTTTTTTTTAATCATTTTATTAGGGGCTCATAGACTCTTATCATAATCCATACATACATCAATTGTGTAAAGCACATTTGTACATTCTTTGCCCTCATCATTCTCAAAACATTTGCTCTACACTTAAGCCCCGCCCCCCCCGCATCAGGTCCTCATTTTTTCCCCGTCCCTCTTCCCGCCCCCCTCCATCATGAGCCCTTGATAATTTATAAGTTATTATTTTGTCATCTCTTGCCCTGTCCGAAGTCTCCCTTCACCCACTTTTCTGTTGTCTGTCCCCCAGGGAGGAGGTCACATATAGATCCTTGTAATCGGTTCCCTCTTTCCAACTCACTCTCCCTCTACCCTCCCAGTATCGCCACTCACACCACTGGTCCTGACGGGATCATCCGCCCTGGATTCCCTGTGAAACTAAATTTTTATGAGTACCCCTAACTGAGTATGGAATGTAATTACATTCTCTAAAAGGTAGCCTGAAGAACCCTGGGTGTTCAGAAAGGCGCTGTGCCGCTGTCTGATGAGGGGTCTCAGAAGAAGGTAACTTGTAAGGAAGCACTGGCCCATTCTCTGGCTTCACTCTTGCTGAGACTTCCCGAGCCTTTTCTGAGGAAGTCACGGAGGGAATCTCAGGAAACAGGATCAGCCACAGTGGTCTCCTCATTGTGTTAGGTGTGACAGCTATGAGACGCGTTAGCTGCCTGATGAGACTTCCTGCTGAAATCCCGCCCTGGCCCTCCTCCAGCTCTCAGCAGTAAGAGTGCTCTCACCGTGAGCCAGGGAGCCCAGATAAGCGAGGCCAAGCTGACCCAGTCATTGTCATCGTCAGGTTAAAAATGACACGGGAGCATATTGAAGATGGCCATCAAATGGCTCAAGTCAATTCTGACCTTTCTTGTTTCCATAGTCTACACCTGTCTCTCGGTTTACACCCTTGTAGAAATCGTGGGAGGCACTGGCTGTTCACTGACAGGATTCCTGCTCTCTCCATTCCGACTCAGCGCACCTCAGGTGGGGCAATGGCTCACGTGTCAGTGGAGGTGCTAAGAGCTGTGATGATGCTGAACAGGTTTCAGGGGGAGCTTCCAGATGAACACAAACTACGAAGAGGGGTCTGGCAAGCCAGAGATCACAATGGTCCAGTTCATAGCCCTTCACAGAGGCATGATCACTGCTGCTTCCCCTTCCTCACCATACCCAGAGTCTGTGGTCAGGACAGGAACACTGATCCTGTTTCATCTCATCACTCCTCAGCCGAAAGCCTTCCAGTGGATTATTTGATCAGTGAAAACTCAGCCCTTCAAATGTCCACCTAGTGTTTTTTTTTTAATCGTTTTATTAGGGGCTCATATGACTCATCACAATCCATACATCAATTGTGTAAAGCACATTTGTACATTCATTGCCCTCATCATTCTCAAAACATTTGCTCTCCACTTAAGCCCCGCCCCCTCATCAGGGCCTCAGTTTTCCCCTCCCTCCCTGCTCCCCCCTCCCTCATGAGCCCTTGATAATTTATAAGTTATTATTTTGTCATCTCTTGCCCTGTCCGACGTCTCCCTTCACCCACTTTTCTGTTGTCTGTCCCCCAGGGAGGAGGTCACATATAATTGGCTCCCTCCCTCCAACCCACTCTCCCTCTACCCTCCCAGTATGGCCACTCACACCACTGGTCCTGTAGGGATCATCCGCCTTGCATTCCCTGTGTTTCCGTTCCTGTCTGTACTAGGGTACATCCTCTGGTCTAGCCAGACTTGCAAGGTAGAATTCGGATCATGATAGTGGAGGGGGGGCATTTAGGAACTAAAGGAAAGTTGTATTTTTCATCGTTGCTACATAGCACCCTGACTGACTTGTCTCCTCCCGGAGACCCCTCTGCAAGGGGATCTCCAGGTCCACTAGTGTTAAGCCATGCTTGCTGTGTCTTGAATATTCCAGGCATACTTCTGCCTTTAGACCTTTTGCGCCTACTTTGTCTTCTGTGGGCACATTTTTCTCCCAGACACCTATTGGCTCTCTTCTGTACCTCTTTCTGGTTGTGCTCCCAATTCGTCCTCACATCCTGCTTAAGTCACCCTGTCAGACTACAGCCCACCCTTCTCCCTCGGCACTCCTTTATCCTTCTTTCTGGCTTCCTTTGTAGTGTGTCTTGCTCTGTGTCCCACATCTGCGGCACTTGCATTAGTGCCTGGACTACTTTAGACACCATGGTAAATTGAAAGAATGAGTGGTTAAGTCATAGTAGCTCTCTTCCCATTTACGCCAAAAGGCTTCATTCTGAAGAGAAGATTGTTGTCACTATGAAATTAGCACAAACAAGGATGATTGCCATCAGCACAATGAAAAATAACAGCTTCAATTATCAGCTACACATACAGACTGCACGGCTTGCCTAGACACTCTTAAACATGTGCCGGGGTCATGTTGTATTGGCTTAACTTAGTAGACTCAGTAACTTGAGATTAAAATACATGTGTGAGAAGACTCCACCTGTGCCCCTGATTGTGTCAAGGTTGAGTCGTTTTAACTTGGTTTGTTGTAAACTTCTGTGATGTGTTCATAACCCAGCACACTAAGGGAGTCTTCGTGTAAAGCCAACACGATAGGCTTCAATTGGGAAATGAGTCCCAGGCAAAAGACTACAAGTCACTGAGACAGCATGATTAGACCTGCACCTTCAGTTAACTTCATTTAATTCATTCTGTTTGTAATGCAGGCGTTTCCCGATCTGTGGATTCCTCTAATCAGTCCTAGAAAATGCACAGCCCCGTATTCTGTCTGTTCTCTGTATGGTTCAAATCCAACTGTAAAAAGCTTAGACTCCACTATCCTAACTCTAAACCTAACCCTAAATTTAACCCTACCCTAACAATCCTAAACCTAAACCTAACCCTAACAACACTAAACATAACCCTACCCTGACCCCTAACCCTAAAACTAACAATCCTAACCCTAACAACCCTAACCCCGACATTAACCCTTAGCCTATCCCTAACCCTAAACATAACAACTCAAACCCTAACTCTAACAACACTACCTTAACCCTAACAACCCTAATCCTACCCCTAACAATCCTGACCCTAACACTAAAAACCCTGACCCTAACCATCCTAAAACTATGCCTAAGCCTGCCTAACCCTAACAACCCTATCTCTAACCCTAACACCCCTAAAAAAAAAAACAACCCTTAGATTTCAA